TTCAGAGACGCAAGTTCTGCCAGGGGCCTTCTGCAATCGAGACCTGCTGCCGAGGGTGCCACCTGCAGAGTCGAGGGCTACGCATGCTCTGAGTTGTTAACATTCTTTAAAAACCACCTCTACTGAAAAACTGTCATGCCTCTGGCCCTGGCCTGGCAGCTCGGTTGGTTGGAGCACTGTCCTGTACACCAAAACATTGCGGGTTCGATCCCCAGTTGGGGCGTGGACAGGAGGCAACTGGTTGATGCCCCTCTCTCTCTCTAACCCCTACCCTTCTCTCTCTCTAAGAATCAATAAAATATACTCTCTGGTAAGGATTAAAAGAAAATGGCATTGCTCCACAAGTCACGGCCTAAAGTTTGTGTTTCTGGTGCTGCTCGCCGGCTGGAATGAACCACTGAGCTCCTACATTGCTCTGCTCTCCAAGATGACCTTGGTCCCCGACTCCTCACCAGGGCCTCAGGAGCAGAAGCGCTCCTGTCCCAGACCCCGAGGACTGGTGTCCTGGTCCGGTTTGGGACAGCGGCTTCTGGAAGGGGCCCCTGCAGTCCTGCTTGCTCACCGCCTAAAGCCCTTGGCAACAGGCTGCCTCAGCTCCTCCTGCTTCTCCCAGGAAACTCACCACAGAGAGACGGGGGCCACCACGAAGCCGGTGACTGGCCCCAACAAACGAGGATCAGGTCTTGGTCTCAACCCCAGACCCAACCTTAAAAGAGGCATCGGGCCTCACTTCCGCCACGGGGTGGGGATGCACAGCCCATTTCAAGCGGGCTTGGGCAGAGCCACAGACACAACACGCAAGGGTCACAGAGCGATTTTCCACGATCTCTTGTTAAGTAGAAGCCAAGACATTTTAAAATACCCGTTGTTTAGAAACAGAGTACGATCGTTTGCCCTATGAAGGTAATTAATCCTCCAAATGGGGTAACACTTATAAATGAAGGTAAGTGTTTCCGGGCTTGAAGTCGCGCTGTGGGCATGGTTCCCACAGGCTCGTCCCCCTCCCAGGATGGCATTTCAAAGGGACCAAATTCGACTTTGAGGGACCTGGGTGGTGATGAACTTGTCCAAGTTTCTGAGACAGTCGTCCCACGGGCCAGCTGGGACATAAGAGCACTTTAGCCACAGCTAGGTTCACACAGACAGACCCTGTAGTGGCCCCTCTGGGGACTGACCACTACAAGACGAGCTTTTGGGATGAGAATTCATGTCAATGCCTCTGCTTAATTTTTCTTTCTTTCTTTCTTTTTCTTTCTTTCTTTCTTTCTTTCTTTCTTTCTTTCTTTCTTTCTTTCTTTCTTTCTTTCTTTCTTTCTTTCTTTCTTTCTTTCTCTTCCTTCCTTCCTTCCTTCCTTTTTTAAGATTTTACTCATTTTTATAGAAGGGGAAGGAGGGAGAAAGAGAGGGAGAGAAACATCAACATGTGGTTGCCTCTCGCACGCCCTCTACTGGGGATGTGGCCTGAAACCCAGGCATGTGCCCTGACTGTGAATTGAACCGGTGACCCTTCGGTTCACAGGTCAGCACTCAATCCATTGAGTGCTTAATTTTTCCTGTCTATCAAATGGGGAGACTCCTATTACTTTGCTGCCCAAGAAATGGCAAGGAACAGAAAGCGGCTATAATGATCGAGGGAAATTTGCAAATGTGCTGTCAAAACACTCAGGACCACAGCTGATTTCCCTAGGCAAGAAGTGCCCCCCAAACCAAGAGTCATTTGCGCAGCCTGTCAGTGCAGGACAGAGTAGAAGGGTGGACCCCTTGGGGCTCTCCTTGCTTCCTCGCATGCTTTTCGGAGGGGTCTCGCCATCTGGGGTTGATTCCGGGACTTTGGATCGGCCAGCAAGCCTGTGCGGTGTGGTGGCTGAGCCCGGGAACCCCTAGGCGCCTGCGCCCGTCATCTACAAAGGCAATATCATTTGCAGAGTCCAGACCAGCCGGGGCACACCTCGTGTGCCCTGGGAGCGCCTGTGACGGCTAATGAACCCAAGCCCGCTGTCCGTCCGCCTTGCTCACAGGACAGACAGTCTGGTCCAGCGACGGAGAGAAATGAGGAGAAGCGGCATCCCCTCCGTGCACATTCCGGTTAACTTCCCGGAAGCAAACACAAGTCCTGCAGGTTCCGCGCACGGCGTTGTCTAGGGTGACAGATGGGAGGTAGCGGTGCTGCGTGTGTGTGTTGTGGGGGGCGAGGGTGGGTGACAAACGTGGAGTGCGGTTCCCAGCTCTCCTCCTGCAAGTGAGCAGGAGCAACAGGCCACGAGGGCAGGAAACTCCCCCCTTTTAAGGAACTTCCAGCAAAGACAAGGTTTGCCACCCCTGAAAGGTGTTTAGCATGCTAACAAAACGCCTACATAATGGGGCTTCAGAGCCGCCTGAATTGATAAAAGAAATCGGGCCACCCCGCTGTGCCGCAGGCCCCGTGCTGTGCGGAGCAGAGACAGCTAATACATTATGGAGCCTGATGAGGTCGGGAGTGGGTTGGCAGCCCCAGCTCAGAAACACTGAGGTCTCTGAGGCTGCCGAGAGCGATGTGGGTTTGAGCCCACCACCAGCTGGCTGGGTGATTTGAGTAAATCTTTTTCCTGACTTCCTGCACCTAAAAAGGGAATAGTCTTGAGCTGATGAATCGCTTTGCAGGCACCGAGGATTGAATACATGCTGTGCTGAGAATCTAAGCCACCATTACAGCTTGGTTCTTTCAAAGCTCACATGCAATGGTGGGCGTTCAGGACTGGGGAAGGCAGGCCCAAGGGCACGGGCCGGCGAGCGTTCTGAGGAGGACAGAGCTGGCTGTGCATGGCCAGGCCACCGCGTCTCCTGGCACCAAGCAGCGGGCGGCCCCGCAGGATCCCCAGGAGGGTCCCGATGGCTGGGGAGAGCTCTGTGACAGTGTCTGGCTCAGACACCACGTTCACGCCAAGGCTGTGCCTGCTTCAGACACAGAAACACTTTCATCACCCCTCCCTGGGAGCCGCAAGGCGAGGAAGGGAACTACGTCCAGACAGACACCTGCAGAGAATGGCGGGTGGGGGTTGCACACTCGGCCCGCCCTTCCCAGGGGCAGGTGGCTGCTGGTCCTTACATGGCCAGCTGATGCTAACCGTGTTTGATGTAACGGAAGACCTTGAGCTAGTAATGACAACAAGTCTGAATGTTTCCCTACATGTTTATCATAAACCCCGACTCTCACCAAAAGGAAGTTACTTATCTAAAGCAAAAGTGATTTCATGTGTGTACGTATGAACTGCATAGGTTCAGTAACTATTTTTTGAAATCATAGGAGCATGCCACTCCACAGAAACAGGATGAGAGGGAAATAAGTAAAATGCTCAATCTGTGGCCTCATAGGGTGGTACTTTGAATTTTATCCAAATCATTATCTTTGGAGTTACCACACTAAGAGACGTGTTTCTGTTTTTATGCGAGGGAAACCAGCTAGAGTCAGTAATTCTTTACTTTTCCCCTAAGGTCTCCAGCCCTGACGGTACCAATCTAGGCTTTTCTTTTCCTCCCTCTCCCCTCCTCCCTCCTCCCTTCCTTCCTTCCTTTCTTCCTTTCTTGCTTCCCTTCTTATAATTAGAAATTGAGCTAATTCAACTGCAGAAATAATATTGGATGCAACTTCATAAACCTTCAGCTTGGATATTTTTCTCATAGAAAAGGCCCAGGTAAACCCCTTCTGGATTTACCCAGCCAGGATTCCAAATTTCAAGTCTTGAGAAAGCCAGGGCTATCATTGCCACTAGGCTCCTGACGCCAGCCCCGCCCGGGTCCTCCCCAGCAGAGAGTAAAATCATCAGTCAGGGCGGAGGAAGAGCAGGACGCAAGGACCTGCCCCGAATCTCCGCCGCGGTCGAAGAAACAGCCCGACTTACCTTTTCTGTCCTGCACAGCAGTAACTCATATAGTTTTACGACTTTACAGGTTACAAAAAACAATTCCATGTATATTTGCTGAATCCTCACAGCAACTCTGTAAGGCAGCCATTGTTTGCATTTAAATAGATGAGGCCGCGCTCAACTAGCTTATTCTTAGTACCATGTTCTAGGTTTTACAAAAAACTCTCTCACGCATTACGTCACTCCGAGCCTTGGACCCCTGTGGCGCTGATAAGATACATAGTTACAGCCCTCGGTGTGTGAGGAGTGAAGTGAAGGTTCAGAAAGAGGAGAATCCTGATGGTGCAAAAACATTTGCACAGGATAGGATGGCGTGTGGTCATTCCCTGAGCTGTATAAGCTCTCCTAAGTAGGATTTAAACATTTTTTAAATATTCTCATTCAAGGACATGTTCATTGATTTTTAGAGAGACAGGGGAGAGCGAAACATGGATGTGAAAGAAAAGCAGCAATGGGTGGCCTCCCGCACACACCTCGACCCGAGACCAGACCTGCAACCTAGGCATGTGCTCTGACCGGGAATTGAACTGGTGACTTTCGGTATACAGAACAACACTTCAACCAGCTAAGCCACTCTGGCCAGGCCTCCCAAGTAGTATTTCTAGATAAGATACAGAATTCCCATACATCTCACACAATCTTTATTGTTCATCTGAAATTTAAACTGAACTTGACATCTGTCGTTTCCGTGGTTGGATCGGGCAGCCCTAGCCCTATGGGATGGGTAGGCCAACCTTCTGCCCCTTGCTCGCCTCACTGAGAGAGAGATGCATCTCTACAATGGGTACAATAACCCACTGATGGCAATTGCGACTGGAGATCTCGCCTGAGGTGACTTCCTATTGCCTCTGACGTGAACGCACTTGAGGTCTGAGGTAGACACAAGTATTCCCACAGCTTTTGAATTTGGAAGATCGCGTATCGCGCAGCTGAGAGTGAAGACTGGTTTCTGGCACTGCACTGCCCACGTGGTCCAGACCGACCCTCTGCATCACCGCTGTCCCCAGACATGGCGGGACCTGGGGCCCCACGCCCAGCCCTGGCACCATCCCCTCTTGCCACCCCACTCTTGGCGTCTTAGAAGGGCGAGTCACTTACTTGTAGGGGATGTGCTTGCTGCCGTTGACGAGGGCCAGGATGACGTTGCCCAGGGCGGACAGCGAGAGGCACAGCCCGGGGCCTCCTTCCCGGTTCTTGCTGAGGGCTTTCACACAGCTGCCGAGGTCAATGAGGTGTAGGCGGCTGCGGCCTCCGGACACTGCCACGGGGGAGGAGACCAGAGGAGAGAGGAGAGGTTAGGTTCTGGCAAACACGTGTCTGTTCATCATGTAGCTCCTTGGGACATCTGGGTGCGGGGGGAAGGAAAAGAGAAACTAAAAGGCCGAAGTTCGTGAGCTAGCCGAGAACCCCAACAAAATCAGGCTGGAGTCACAAATACCACGGTTCTGTTAACTTCTGCCTGGCACACGCTGCTGCCCTTTTACACCTCCTGATTCACCCCATAAACGAGTGAACAGCCCCTGCGGGTTGAACTGGATGAGGTTCCGGAGAAGGCACAAGCCTAACACAAGGAGAACCAGGCATGTGCCTGCGCGTCCTTTGGGAAGCAGAGTTCTGAAACTGCTCGAGTCAAAACCTGGAGGACCCGTGAGTGTCCAGGTCCTCGGCCGCTCGTCATCCAGACCCTGACCTACAGCTCGGGGACCGGGCGGGTCACCCAGGGCAAGGTCAGGATGAAGTACGGCCAGACGCAGAGACAGGAAACGCCCCGAGTGTTTGCCGGGTGCTGGCCACGCGCCAGGGGCCGCCCGAACGTCAGTCTCGCCCGTCACTTCCCATGCCCCAACCGTGAGCTGGATGCTCTCATCCTCGAGTTACAGACGAGAAAATGGAAGTCTGGAGAAGTTAAGACGCTCGCCCACCAGCACTTCAGCCTCGGGCCGAAGGAAGGGACCGGGACCAGACAGATCTTCTTCCGGGAGCCAACCGGAGCAGCAACCACACAAACGTCCATCGGCCCGTGACGGACAGGCAAACGGGGAACACCCACCCGGGCCACGGACCATCACTCAGAAACACGCAGAAATGAACTACTGGGACGTGCACCAGAGCGGCTGCGTCTCCACATAACGACGCCAAGTGGAGAAACCACCCACAAGGGCAGCGGACCATGCGATTCGACCCCATTTGTGTGGGACTGTGGGAAGCGCACGCTGATGTGCAGGACGCAAGCCATTCAGTGCTTGCCTGGGGGTGGGGTGAGAAAAGGTGGGGGGGGGAGGGCTGGAGGGAGTCCCAAAGGTCCCAAGGAGTGTCTGGGGTGACGGCTCAGGTCACTACCTTGCTTGTGGTGATAGTTTCTGGGTGTGCATATATAACGGAATTTATCAAAGTATACACTTTCAGTATGTGAGGATGATCGTATCTCCTACAGAGCTCATTATGTCTGTTTCTAATAGCAGGCCCACGGCCACGCCCACGCCGGCAGCGGGAGAGCCAGGGTCAGAACTTCGGGGCCCTCCGCCCCACACCACGTGACCCCGGTCAGCTCCCGAGGCGGCGGGAGTGCAAGGTGATCTTTTAGTCCCGGGGCCTCTCTCCCCAGGCAGCGTGGCCCTCAGCCCGCAGCCCGGCCCCTAGATTGTGTCCCACTGCTCCCCAGCAGCAGCAGCTCCCTCCTGCACCCAGGCCCCTGGGTCCCTACCTTTCCAGCTGGCCCCCCTTCCCCTGTTCTGCACGGTAGACACAGAAGCGACAGAAGACACGGAAGCTTCCCTAAGCCGTTGCGGATGCTGGTCGTTTGGGACAAGGCGGGAAAGGGGTGGGCGGAGAAGGCTGGCGCAGGGGCGGGGTGTGGGTGTCTGGGTCCTGCTGGATGTGCAGGGGCATGCGGGCGGCGTCCGGGCACTCGCACGTTCCTGCAGGCAGGGCCACGGGACAGCGCTGGCTTGGGAGCGCCAGGGTTCACGCTGCGGGATGAGAACGTCTGGGAACCCCTGTCCTGACCCCGACCTTGTCTCACCCCAGCACAGCCTCAACGTCCACCGCTAACACTCCGGGGATCGGGGGCGGGGGGCGGTGAGTGTTTGCAGCAGGCACAGCGCCCCCACTCAGGCTCTCCGGGTAGGCGGGTACCTCCCCGGCACAGGGCTTGTCACCCTCAGGACGGGACCTTTTGTTTCCCTGCCACCGTCCGCAGTGGAAAACCCTCAAAAGGAGTGAAGATGTGAGACGCTGCTTCCCTTTTATCCCATGTTCTACCCGGCAACATCTGGTCATGGTCGTGCGCTGGAGAAACAGTTATTTTTAAAGCCAAATACCATCTCCTTCGCAACCTAATTACACAGACAGGAGAAGCCCAGACGGTCTGCGTGCGCCGCAGATTAAAGGGCAAGGACGGGCCGACTGGGGCTTTCCGACCGTGTGAGGTAATGGAACGAAACGCACAATGCAAGGCGCACGTAGTAAAACAGGGCGCAGAGAACAAAGGCACAGTTTAGGCTGCGCCGAGGAACAACAGTATGAAACACCTATCATTATACCTGCATGACTCACAGGGAGAGTCACAGGCAGACAATGGGACCGCGACTCCGCTCTGTGCCCACTGCAGCTTCAGTTGTCACGGAATTCTGAGTTCCGCAGGCGGCGTTTGATCAGGGAGGGGCGAGGTGACGGGCAGGGCCACGAGCTGCTAGCGGGAATTTGTGTCCCTGGAGGTGGCTGGAGAGGAAGGAGTCCTGTAATCGATGGGCCAGATAGGCGCTCATTAACAGCAGTTAAGAAGCGGGCTCCTTATCGGCCTTTTCAGGTTTGGGAAGTCACAGCTGCGGGGCTGCAGGGACATAACTCAGTCCGCCTCGAGCCATCCTGTATCGACGTTCCGGTATGCACGGTTTAAGTCTAGATGCTGCCCACACCAGGTGACTCACAGCGCTCCACTCGCCCCCAGGAGGCCACGGACTCAGCCTGCCCCACCCCCGAGCGAGCGCCCAGGTGTTCTCCGGGCGAGCGCCTGGTGGGGCCAGGAGGCGCTGAATCCTCCCGACGTCACTCAGTTCCCGCAATAATCCTGTACTGCGAGAATCAGCCCCACTTTATAGAGAGGAAGAGGGGGTTCGCAGACGGGAACGGAATCGCCTGAGATCTCGTGGCAGCTGAGTACTGCTGGACATCACGTAAAAGCCCAGAGCCATGGACAAAGCATGCAGCTCTTCAAACTCACCTTCCCACCACTCAGTGGTTCCCCAGCCTTGCCACCCATCAGATTCACCTTAGAATCTTCATGAGTAATATGGACACCCACGCCCACGCTTTCTAATTTGACCCAAGTGCAGTGTGACGGGGGCACTGGGAGTCATTGAAACACTAAGTGGTTTGTCTCCTGGCCAGGTTCACCAGTGCTCTCCACGGTGACCACGGCACTCTGGTGGCCAGTGCTGGCGGTGGCCAGTGCTGGCTGTCCCCAGGTGAGTCCATGCACTTTTGTCCCCCATAATGAGGTATAGATAGCAGCAGGGTTTCTCCCTAAACCGAATCATGCCTTTTACTTGAGACTGTAGGTAAAAATATAATCAAACACTCTGTACACCACTAGCATGGGATAGTGGAGAGACAGCTCACGCTTCTAAACTAAATCCAATGCTTTGGAAAGATGTGATAAAAAGGAGTTATTTTTCTTAAAAAAAGATGCTAAAAATAGGTATGAATGAGAAATTAGAGAGTGGAAACAATTTTAAGAATCTAGAAAAAGTCTACACCCAGTTGGCTACACAAATGTATTTTAAGTTCCTGTGTCGGTTAGAAGAACTTTAAAGCAAAACCCAGATTTTAATACAAATGTGGTTTCTGGAAGTCAGAACCTTAACTTAAAAGATCATCTCAGAGAGAAAGTCACGTGCTGTATCAGAAGACTGATGACGAAATGCACATTTGTACGTTGTAAGTTCAAATCACATGCTTATGACATGCATGTATCGTTTCATACGATTTCCCTTTTCTTTACTAATTTTCTCGGTTAACTGACTGTCTTCTACTGTGTTGCAGAAAAGGGCGTCTCTGAACCCCCCATCTGCTCCTAAGACAGGTGATCGGGTGGTCCTTCCCCTTCTGAGACCGAGCTGAGCTGGATGCGAGAGAAACCCACGCGTGTTTCCGAGTACAGCATGCATTCCCTCCGATTCAGCAGAAGGACCGAGCACTGACTCACAAATGGGCCCACGGGGGACAGACAGATGGACACCCTGTCCTTGTAGCCTAATGAGATGGAGGCCAGCCCACCAGTGACTGAAACCCAAGGAGAGAGAAGGCAATGACTCATCATCCCCACCCGGTATGGGATCCAGAGGAGAAAAACGGAGGAGGCAGTTTGCGCGGAAAGTGAGGTGCCGACAGAGCTCTTATTGTTAATGTTACTGTCCCTTCCCTCCTTTCCAGGAGGTGGCCCTGACTTTGGTGGTAGGAGAGATTGAAAACAAAAGTATGAAAACATGGTGGGTGGGTTACAGTATGCGAGGTCCTGAAAGGGGCGATGGGTTGGGACGAGAAGGAAGTCAAGGCGACGGGAGGAAGCGGACCTACAGGACAGGAGGAGGGGGGCCGAGGCACAGGGACCAGGTTCTGAGGCTGAGAGGAGAGCCACTGAGGTGACACACCAGAGGAACTCTTTCTCCTCCATCAACGGGAAGCCGGTTACCTGCTGAGAGCGGTACCGGCGGACGTGAGGCTTGAGAACCACCCTTCTGATGGAGGGGACGGGCAGATCAAGTGGGACTACCTCGGGGGTTCTGGGCTACCTTGACCTTAAAAGTTGTATTACGAAAGTCTAAAAATATAACACTGTCATTTCATTGTGGGCCAAGGGGGAGACGAGAGCCCTGGAGCAAGCCCTCCAGTGCGAGAGCCCTTACTGCCCAGGGCTTGGCTGTGGTGGGCGCTGAGGCCTGGCTACGCCTCCCATAGGAGCCACGTTCTTGGCTAGACCTCGTCCCACGTCCACCACCCACATCGTGGGGTTCAAGAGTCCTACAGACCACACTGCCCTGGACAGGGCATGAGCCGAGTCCCGCCATCCCAAGGCACATAAAGAGCAGATGGTTGTCGACGGGAAGTGATCCGGTCAGACTTGTGCGCAGGCGCTGGTCCATGGTCACAGCCAGCCCACCCACACCCAGCCCGTGGGCTTCCCCGAGAGGCAATACAGTGAATGAATGAATCAGAGATAAGGGCCGTTCTTGACCCTGGACGACAGTCTCACGCAAGCTTCGATAACTCAGCCGAGGGATGCTTTTAAATCCCATCTTCATCAAGGACTGGGAACTTGTGCATCGTGAGCTCATTGCCCCGAGGCCCCTCTAGTCCCATCTTGCTTTGACTCCCAGGGTGGCTCCTGATGGGAAGGACGTAGGGGTCCCTTGGCCCACGCTGGCATTCGCAAGGCATTCCTCAGCCTTGAAAGACGCATCTGAGCAAAGAAGGGAGCCTCCCCGTCGGGTGAAGAATCGGCCCCACTGATGCCCCCAAAACTTTGTAAACTGGGGACGTATTTGACGCTGAACCTACTGCTATCTGCAAAACCACGACACATCAACACAGAATTTTCTTTCCTATCTTGACTGGACACGTTGAATACAGTTTTGTCTGCCTCAGTGTGGCTCTGTGTGTGTACGCGTGAGTGTGTATAAAACACACACGTGTGCATACGTTTCAGGTGCACGCATACACGGGTGTTTAGTTACCGCCCCAGAGGCCTCTCTGCGTCCATCCTCTGCGCTTCTAATGGCCAGTGAACAGCAACACTCTGCTCTCTGCTTCCCCGCAGGGAGGCTAATTAATAAACTTTCCCTTAATTGAGTTCTGGCGGCCAAGTCCACAGGGGTCATTCCTTACCTATAAGTAAACAACATTTCCATTTTAAACAACACTCCAAATCTCCTCATTACGTTCGAAACAGATACGAGTGCACAGAAGTCCAGCCAGCCACGGACTGGGAGGCCACGTGCCTTCTGGCCTGACCCCCTTCCCCCACAGAGCCGGGTGCGGGGGCAGGCAGGCAGCATCTCCAGGACCTGGGGGTGGGGGGCTGCCCCTCCCACCCGCCTGGCCTCCTGCCCTTCTTCCTCCTCCTCCGTAGATACATTAGAAAGCTCCCAAAGAAGTTTTGGAAACGTCATTTATAGGACTTGCCTTTTTCTTTAGCCTCAGTTTATTATTTAAAGGCAATTTGCTTTCGCTGTTTATCAATAGGAAGAAGATGAGTTTTAAGTGAAATGTGTCATAAGCACCCAGGACTGCTTAAGTACCGACATGGGGTGGATTAGCCTGCACGGTTGCGGAAGCCGAGTTTTAAGTTCTTACGGCTGCAGTGATTTCGTGAACTGCTCGCGGTTTTCGGGAGCCCTGCCCATTTTCGGGGTCCGCACGGAGCACGGAACTGCGAAGTGAAAAGTGGAAAATCAGAAGCAGAGCTGTGTTCAGCGCGGTTTGCCGTCTCCTGGGAGGGGGCGGTTCCCTCCCCTCCTGAGTTTTCCACTCAACACCATTTGGAAGCCATTTGGCTCAAGAGTCAGGTCCTTTGTGCGTCTCTCCTTTGCCAAAAGTACAAGAATTCACTGCAGGCTGGGATGATGATGATGATGATGATCATTATTATTATTATTATTGACAGCTTAAAAGAATGAAGCAAACATTTTTCGGACTCCCACACTCACGCAGGGAAAACACAGCCCAGGAAAGAAACAACTCTTGAGGACAGGATTGAAAGCCAGCTCTCAGACGGTTAGGAGAAGTGTGGGTGAAGTTCTGTTCCTCATTACAGAGGTCTGGATCCTCTCACCCCCACCCTAGCCCCTCACTTCCTTCCTTCAGAAGGTTCTTCTCAGGGGAAATGCTGTCCACATTGTGAGTCCTTCCTGGAGAATCAATCTCTCTTGAAAGATTCCCGTTCAAAATACCTTGCTCGGCCCGTCAGCCCCTTCTCACCAGTGCGGGTTGCCAGGGGAGACTGGCCTGCTGGTCTGCGTCTCCAAGCACCCAGGGCGTGCAAGTGAGGGCCAGTGCCAGCGCCAGCGCCCCACTGTCGGTCAGAGCCACGAAGCCCAGCCCCAGGGAATGGGACTCCTCCCGCACTGGGGGTGGGGGTGGGGGTGGGGGCAGGGCCAATCTCGGGGCCCCGTCAAAACCCAACGAGGAAGCGGCACGCAAAATAAGTGAACAGCGAGTACATGCGACCACGTGGAGGATTCTCAGATGTGTTATGCTGAATGAAAGATCCAGACGCACGAGGCCACACACGGACCACAGGATTCCGTTCATACGACATTCCGGATTAAGGCAAAACTACAAGGACAAAACCCACATCGGTGGCTGTCGGGGGCGGAGGAGGGGACCGACTATAGGAGACAAGAGGGAGCTCTATGTGGTGTGGCTTTGTTCTCTGTCCTGACAGTGGTGGATACACAACTGTGCAGATTCCCCAAAGCTCATCTAATGACACATTTCACTGCGTGTAAATTATGCCTCATTAAACTTGAATTAAAGCAACAACTACGGAGCAGCAACCATGGCAGAAGCCTGGGTCAACAGAGGCGTTGAGGGTGTGGGGGAGGGGAAGAACCTGTGCTTGGGGGCCACAGACACCCCCAAGAGCTATCTCCAGGACACTGGCTTTCAAGGCTTCGGGCAACAGGGAGACGGGGGAGAAGTTGGGGAGCCCACTCCCAGATTCCAGCGGGATGTCTTAACTCCAGGCTCCACCTCCAATCGGGTCAGCAGACTGCCTCTGTGTCAGACAGCTTCACGATTTCCAGCCACCAAAGTTAGTCTCCTCACTCAGGGGTTTGTTTGTTTGTTTGTTTGTTTGTTTGTTTGTTTGTTTTTGGCACGGGCTTTCTTGAGACCATTGTTCAGAAAGCACTGGGGGCCAGCTGCCTGTGTTTTAAAAGACCCTACAGAGATGGACGCTGGGAGACAGGTGGAAGCCGCTGCCTGGCCAGCCCAGCCCAGCCTGTGAGGTCGGAGAACACCCGGTGAGGTCCACGGACCACTCTGCCCACAGTCCACGACCCCAGCTGAGACTCCGGGCCCAGGGCTGGCACCCAAGTGCGAGCGCGGACAGACACTGCTCGCCAGTCAGAGCCTAGAGCCTGCACCCGGTCAGTGAGGTCCGACGCAGCCACCAGGGGCCTGTGTGACCCAGAGCCGGGCTCCGGCAGTGCGGCCGTCCTGGGGACTGCGGCTGGCTGATTACAGAGCAACATCACCGATGGCCGTTTCCTGAGCGGGGAAGGCAGCCAGAGTCTGGTTAGTTACTCGAATGTCTGATCTACAGATGACTTAAAAATCACGAGCTGGTTTCTTTTGGGTCCATACGGCAGACTCAAGCTAACGATGAATAACGACATTGCCAGGGTGCTTTGGTGAGAAAAGGCTGGTTTCTGATGATACGCACCTTTAAGGTTTGTGAACCAAAAGAAACCATTAAGCAGCTCTTTGCTTTTTTTCTTTAAATCCTCACTTGAGGACATGCTTATTGATTTTTTAGAGAGGGGAAGGGAGGGGGAAGAGAGGGAGAGAAACATCAGTGTGAGAGAGAAACATCCATCAGCTGCTTCTTGTATGCACCTGGACGAGGGATCGAACCTGCAACCTAGGTATAGGCCCTGACTGGGAATTGAACCCACAACATTTCCGTTTACAAGACGATGCTTCAACTCCCTGAGCCACACTGGCTGGGGCTGTTTTGCTCTTTTTAAACTCTGTTCTCTCGCATTCTCACGGCAGTGACATTCATCAGTGATCTTTCCCAGAGCAAACCCTCTTCCCTTGGACAATTCCAAAGTCAACTGCAGCCCAGACTCAGCAACGATCTTGAGTCACGAGTCAGCGGGACTTGAGACTGGCGAGATCACGCCAGGTGAACAGAAGGTCACGGTCGTCCCGCCCAGGGCCCTCTCCCCCGGACGAGGGCCGGTGAGGAGGGGCGGCGACTTACTTCCCCCTTTCCCGCTCTTCTCCATCCGGTATTGGTAGATGTGCAGCGTGAAGAGCATGTGGGAGTTGCGGTGGTCGTCCTCGTCGCAGTCCTGCTGGCTGCCCCGGCGCGAGGCGATGGCGGCGTCCAGGAAGAAGGCGGCCTTCTCCGCCGTGGGCGCCCGCAGCTCGCTCTGGTTCTGCAGCTGGAAGACACAAGCCCAAGCTGAGGCTGCAGCTTGAGGGGGGTCGCCTGCCCCCCGCCCCCCGTACCCCCACACCGGACTGTCCGTTCAGCATCGTGCAGCTCCCTGCCCCGCCAAGGCGGGGAGTCCTTGTACAACGTGGCCCTATACTCACGCGCCACACTCAGCCTAATTCATTCCTGCCTGAAGATTCGTGTTGAGCACACGATTGGACGACATCCATTTTCCCTCATTTATAATTGAGGCAGAATCTGTAAACAGCCGGTATGACAAAGCGAATGCACGTGTCTGAACGGGAGCAGAGGGCGGCTCGCCGCAGCGCGGGCAGTCTAAGAGAACTCGCAGGACGGGACTGTGCCTGGGTTTCAGAGAGGAGAGGGCTGGACACAGACGGGCCACACCGTGTGATTCTCATCGACAGCATGGGGGTCCCAAGGAAGGGAGAGCGCTTGGTCGGCTTTAGCCCAACTCTCATCTCATTCCCCAGCTATCTAATCAAAGCCGATGACAGACCCCAGTGCCCGGCACAGTGGCGAGAAGTGAGTGTTGAAGACGTAGGAAAACACCCAGGATACGCGGACGCCTCGTCTGTATCACTCAGCAGAGGTCTAGTTTTACCTTTACGACTAAACCCACGTGTGCGGCACACTCTTCAATCGACTGCAGAGAGCACGGTGGGCAAGGCACCCAAACCCTGGGGACCCCCTGGCCGGCACCATGAACCTTAATCAGAGCGCGTTCCGCCACCTGTCCCTTTGTGGGGGCAGAGAAGAAAACTCATTATGTCTGAGATCTTCCCAGAGGAGAGATCTGCGGTGTATGTTTCAGGGTCGGTACAGGCTCCGAACGTTTTCTACTCTGACGTTACCTGTTCCCACGGTTCTGAACTGCGAGAGATGGCATTTGGGATCTGAGACCATGAACATCCTCAGACTTCAAAGGGAGATTCCGTTGTGTTCCTGGTTTTGTACTCAGAATGGCCGAAACATAAAGCAGAGAATTTTTACGATTTTTCAATAAGAAGAGTTAAAGTCAAGAGCATGTTGGTCTCTTCCTCTTTTTTTTTTTTTTTTTTTGCCTTCAGTGAAGCTGCACTTTCACCCACATGGAACCTCATTAGTGGAGAAGTGAGCGGACGTCACCGCACATCCGAGGGTCTGGGCAATTCTTGGGGCGGGAGCCGCGGGTAGGGGGCACTGCTTCCCATCACAGGTGCCATGAGGACACCTGTGAGCCCGTCTCATGCTTCAGAACGGTGGTTCTCCGAGTGTGGTCGCTGGGCCGCCAGCAGCGTCACCACGTGGGAACGTGCTGTGATGCCTGGTGTGCGGCTCTGTCCAAGGACTACTGAACCAGAACTTCTACAGGGATCCCAGCGACTGTGCCTTAACAAGTCCTCCCGGTGACTCTGACGAAGACTGAAGTTTGAGAACCACTGGACTGAGGTTCTCATGACCAGCTAGTTCGTATTCTAACTAGGTGCCCCATCCAAGTGGTATCTGATGCATCTGTTAAAACTGCACAGCCACTTTTAGTCAGACGTGGTACCCGCCCTTTGGGAGTTACCAAGAGCTAACCGGGCAATCACAGCATAGCTGCTACCAGTGTTCTAGTCAACTCAGGAGAGACATCTAAGAGGGCTTCCAGGAAGAAGAGACATCTCGCTGAGGCCTAAAGGATAAGGAGTTAGCCAGATGAAGAACCAGAAGGGAGGAGGAGTATTCCATGCACAAGGAACAGAATGTGCAAAGGCCTAGAGGTAAGGAGCGTGGTTGGTGCCTTACTACAGCTTTGCTACCGAGAGTTTGTTAGAAATAAATGCAAGGTCCAGGGCACGAGCCCAGACCTGCAGAACCAGAATATGCATTTTAACAAGTTCCCCGGTGATTCATACACACACTGAAGTCTGAAGGGCACTGCCATGTTGGGGGACTTACGTGTAATGTAAGAGGAATGTGGCAAGGGGAGGGGAGTGGCCAGAGATGATGCTGGAAAGGTAGACAGGTACACACAGGAAAACCATGGCCTGGAGGGTTCACCATGGCAATGGAAGAAGCTGAGCTGGGTGGGGGATGCGGTCCGGTGTGAGAAGATGGGGGATCGTCGCCGGTGGAAACAATCCCACCTGGGAGCCAGGCAGGTACAAACCGAACCTTCCGTCTAAGAAAGGAGGCGTCGGGTGAAACTAGGAAAGAAAGCCTGCTGGTGGAGATGGGGAGAACCGATTATTGTGGACGTGAAGCAGGCTGTTCTAGGCCATGCCGACCCAGAGAGGCAAACAGTGAGAGAGAGAGAGAAGACTCTGGAAACAGGCGTGACGCCCTGAGAAGGCGCATCGGAGCCTCTCCTGGCGTCCGCAGCTCTAGCAATTATATCACGGTGCTAATGAGAAAGTGGTTATTAGTTTTTCCTGCAGCACTCCTAATCTGGCTGCAAACCGGTGCCAGGAACAGTTTATAGAGCCATAAACAGTCCCGGTAACGGCCGTGGCTATTTGTGCAGAGCAGTAAATATTTCAGTTTGCTGTTAAACAAAAGAAAAAGCGTCCTTTCCTCCCTCCCCCTGAAAGGGGCATAAAGAAAGTAAATTCAATTTCCTCGAACTGCTACAACAATCGTGATTCCTGCTCATTGTCAATTAGATCCAAGGCACAAATATTTAGGTTGGGCGAGCAGATGGCCCCGCAGCTGGCGGCCGTAAAGGTCCAGTCCCCTGTAACGTAAACACCCGTGGGCCTCCTGGTGGGCATGTCAGTCCATCACCGGCTGAGCGCCCCGGCCTCGGAGGTAGGGGGGAGCCGCCTCGGGGCCACCTGAGCCCCCCCAGCCCGAGCAGTCACCTGCGTGCCGCAGATGGGGTCCTCACACAGGTACACGCCGGGGGACTGGCCGTCCTGCAGGCTGCCCGTGGCCACCTCGGACAGCAGGTCCCGCAGGTTCTCCTCTCTGCCCCACACCTCCACGGCCGAGATCCGGACCGAGAAGCGGGCTCCAGTCTTTTCCTTCCGCTCGTTGATGAGCTTGAAGAGCCAGGAGATGGCGCAGGGGATGATGCCGAGGTTCTGCATGGAGTCGTCCTTCCCGATCATGGTGTAGGATTTTCCTGGGGGGCCGCGTGGGGGGGCACGGGAACAAAGAGAAGAGAGAACGGCAGTTTGAGTGTCCACAGGTCGTTCTGCAGTCTCGGGAATAGATGCCAAGGATGCAGGAGGAAGGCATGGCGGTGTGGGGGAAGGGAGGAGAGGGAAGGAAAAGGTGAGCGAAGTAGCCCTTGGCAGTAGCAGGAAGACCTTTCCCAGTCCTCTGGTTAAATGGCTACAATAACGGCTGCAAGAGCCCTGGCAAGTGACTAGATCAGATCACCACGAACCTCCAGGAGGACCCCAAATACCCAAAGCGACCCGTCTCTGCCTAGTTTTTACACAGAGTGGGAAGGTGGGGACCACTCATCACTGTCACCGCCCCACATATTACAGTCATGTACTTAAACACTTTATAACCTTTCTCAAGTTAAATGCTGTGCATATTTTTATAGCAGGAGCCGAGTCCACCGAAATCTGGGTCACTGCTCTGAGCAGAGATGAAGAAGAGAAGGAAGGGGCAGGAGGCCGAGTGGCCGTGGGGTGAAAAGGGCTTTCGGTCCTGGCCCAGCCCTGGCCCCGATGGTCTCTGTTGGCAGCTCAGCCGAGGGACCGTGTCTGGAGCTCCCCCAAACTGCTCACCTGTCCAGCGTGTAAGGGAAGACCTGGTGAGCAGAGCGCCACAGGTCAGGATGGAGGCGCCACTCGGGGTGGGGAGCTGCCTGCCCCCGACCCGGCACCCAGCACGGGGGCATCCGGACAGCTGGGTGTTGGGAAGCAAGGACGGTGAGCAGACCCTCCCCAGACGGGTCCGCTCATGGCCTGGGCTTTGCGTGGAGCTGCTCCTCTGACCTTTAGTTTGGCTCCATTGCCAACCCAAGTCCTCCTGTACGTGGGGTTTTATTTTTATGTATGTATGTATGTATGTATGTATGTATGTATGTATGTATGTATTTATTGAGTGGGGGCAGCTCTCTGCTTCCCAACAGCCCCTGTTCAGGAAATGTACATTATCCTGCTGGTTTTCTGGGCGTGACCCTGACCTGGATCAGATGGGAACAACCCTGCCATATGCCTCTGTTCATCTTTTGAGCTTGAAGCCCTTCCCAGACGACTGGGTTTCCACTACGAATGGGAATCTACATTTCAAAAGCAGAAATGATCCCCTGTGGTTGTTTGGTTCGGCACCTAAGGGAGACGGCCTTCCTTCCACCCGAGCACTCGGGGCCTCACAGAAGAATGGAGATGGGGGCCAGGAACCCGGCGCGCAAGGACGGAAAAGCACGGCTCTCACTGACCCAGCTTGGCGTGGCCGAAACAGAACACGCAGCCGTCGGCCCCGTTGACCACGGACTGGATCACCTCCGCCACGGTCCCGGCGCACACCTCGGCCTGGCAGACACAAGGGGAGACACGGGTGAGTAACGGAACAGAACGGCGAGCCCGCTTTCCCCGGGGCGTGGCCCTGTGTATTCCCAGGTGGGTCAGCCCCTAACTGAGTTCTCGGACGCTCAGTCCCCTCTGGCGCCGCCCGCCCTCTGCCAGCGCGAGCTTTTCACACAGTAACTGCAAACCTCCCTTCTGCTAATTTCCGGGCCCTTTCCGCTGCTGTCTGCAGACCAGGCAGGGCCTGGGCCGGGTGGGAACACAGGGCGTTTTCAGGGACCCTGTCCCCTCCCCTGCTGCCGTTCCGGCCTCCGGACGAGGCATTTAGACTTTCCATGTGCTCTCGGCCAGCTAGATCCTTCCTTTACACACACACACACACACACACACACACACCCCTCACAAAATAGGCCAGCCTTATTAGAGGGAAAATGGCAGGGACCTGCCATTTCAGCACGGCGACCTGGAGAGACATTGTCATTCTAATCTAAGCAGGAGATTTGTGGTGTCTGTCTGCTTTCTCCCCCATCTCCTTCCTTTCTCAGTCTACATCTTCCTCTCTCCGAAACCAGCCTTTTCTTTCTCTCTCCACAGACATTACGTTCAACACGTACAGATCCTTGACGAACGGAACTCGGGCCCGCTCCTGCGGATTTGCTGTGTTTCCCCATGAACGCCCGGCCGCCCAGCGCTCCGTCAGTGATGGGGACTCAGTCAATTCTGTGGGCGGAGGCGGAGCTCTGGGAACTCTCTCTCCAGCGAGCCCCCGGGGGCTTCCGCAGCAGCAGGGGCACAGAATGACTCGCTTGTGCTCTTGCCTAGGGTTCTGTCTGGGCGCCGGAGTCAGATCTCCTGCAAACATCCAGAGGCCATGCGGGCCTCTGCAGTCCTCGGAGCGAGGGGCCCCTGGGCGGGCAGCTGAGCGCCGCAGGCCCGGCCGTGAATGCAGTTACTCAGCGCCAGGCGGCCGTGGCACAAGGAACCTAAGTGCTCGGAAACCAACGTTCTCTCCCGGGCCGGCATGGAGAAACCACACTCCTCCCCACTGTGGGTGGTTCCGGTGGTGGTCGCCTCAGCAGCTCTGCCGGGGGCACCTCCTGGGCGAAGGGGACAGCAGGACAGGGCTGCCGTGGGGTGGGGACCACAGGATCGATCGTACACCCAGGATCCAGGCCACGCAAGCCTGGCTCGGAAACCCCCCAAAACAGAGGCTGTAGAATCTTAAAGGAATCTGCCAGAGGCTGAAAGCACTCTGCCTCTATTGGACACAAAGGGAGATGGATCGGGGTGAGGAGGCTGAGAGCCCACCCTGATCTGTCCACAAACTGTCTTAGACTCGAGGTCAGTGGGGAGACTGTCGGTTGTGTATGAACCGAAGTGCCTTCACCGAGTCACCGGGGCCAAGGCCGGGCAGAGGAGACGCGGGGGTGGGGGGGGGGGCGGGCGGGGGAGGCGTGCACGGCACAGGGCTGGCCTCCCCCGGCTGAGTCCCTGCCCCGCATGCACTGAGGAGGGGTGTGGGGAGTGAGCTGCGCCTCTGGTGTGTGTTAGGAGGTGACGACAGCCCCTGGAGACTGCGTGCTGCTTCTCCATGGCCCAGAGAGGCAGGCAGCCTTCCTGAGAGCAGACCCCATGGCCAAGTCCAAGTCCACAGGAAGCCTCCGCTGCCCCACAGGTCTGAATTCTGCTCCCCCCCCCATCCCTCCTGCTAATGACTGAGTCTGTGCCCTCCCACATTCTCAGACTGCAGCCTGGTGTGGTGGTAGCAGGGGGTGGGCGCTGAGGGAGGCGACAAGGTCACGGGGTGGAGCCCTCGGGAGTGGGGTTATAAAAGAAGCCCAGAGAGCCCTCTGGTCCCTTCCACCACATGAGGACACAGCGAGAAGGCGCTGCTTAGGGGCTCTCCCCAGACACCAGATCTGCCAGCACCTTGATCTCGGCCTTCCGGCCTCCAGAACCTCGAGAAACAAATTTCTGTTGCTTATAAGCCATCCAGTCTGTGCTATTTTGTTATGGCAGCTGGAACGGACTATGTCCCCTTTCCAAAGCCAGACCCAGCAGCAGTCTGCCCCCGCAGTGGGCAGGGGAGGACGGCCAAGGCCACTCAAGGGTGTAAAGATGGCTCCTGAGGGCAGAGAAAGCAACACTCTGAACTGTCCGGGCTCCACGAAGCCCACGAAGGTGGCCAGCGGCAAGGACCTGGGGGCACAGGCCACCCTGTACGCCGTCTGGCCCCTCTGCTTTGGAGGCTGGAAGGTGCTCACCCCATGAAGGCCAAGGCTGGCCACAGCCGCAGCGTGATGTCAGCCTTAAAATGATGATCTAATAGTAAAAGTAGCTCCCATTTATTGAGTACTGACTATGCTCTCAGTACCTCATGGGTCTCAATTCAGGGACTCACTACGGCCTTAAGGAGGTACATTTGGGTTCTGTCTTCATCCTACAGACAACACTGAGGTCCGGAGACATTCAGAGCAAGTGTGACTTGTGCAAGGACACACTCCAAAGACAGACACACTGCTAGGGAAGTGAGCAAAATGACAGGTGGCCAAAGATGCACCACCATACAGAGCAGAACACAGAGAAGAATCTAGAAAAGATGTCTGCTCAGGAAAGGGATTGTGAATGAGAGACTGAAGCGGTGAGACTCAGTTTCCCTGTCTGTCATGGGGAAGGAGCCACGCCTCCCTCCCCCGCGCCCTCGGAGTCCAGGAAGGACGAATGGGCTGATGCAAAGGGAACTTCCTAGAAACTGGAGATGTTCTTGAAATGCAGTTTATTAAACACTTGGAAATTTCAGCAAACACAAAGCATTCTAAAGCGAGTGCGTCTGTCAGACGAGCTCTACCACTGAGTCTGAAATGTAAATAAAGACTCGCAATAAAAGAGGCTCCTTTTTTCTGGAATCAATTAGAAAGGCATTCATAGTCCACGCTGAATTTAGGGTTTGCTTTGGGATGCTGACAACCGAGGGAGATTTGCTTCTGAAAAGTTTTAACTGCATGATTTGAATTATTTGTAGGCCATTTATTAGACCCCAAAGTGAGGCTTAGCTTAGTGAGTCCATGGGGTGGTCCCAAACACGGAAAATGAAATGAAGAGGGAAACCACTGAACTCATTCATAAAGCGCTTTGTCTTCCCACGGTGAGCTCGCTGGGGAAACCACGGACCCGGCTGGTTAATGCATGCAGCCTACAGCACGTGCTCTCTGCCAACAGTACCATCCAGGTGTCTGCGTGAACACCGTGTCTTTCTACACTGAGGTGCAACATGGGAGAAACTGACAGGAGCCGCAATGGTCGTCGTGATGCTCCAGGTTCTGCTAGAGGCTGTTAGTCCCCCTACTGTGCACTGTTCTGCATAAATCTTGGAAAGTGCCGGAAATTTATCAGGAAAGTACAAGTGTCTGATGCCAAAATGCGGGCAAAGTAGGCTACTGCCTACCTATAGCCTGGGTAATAGATGTCTACAAGAAGATTCACCTGCACCAATTCATTGCACATGAATTGCCCCCGAAGGTGCAGCTGAATCTTCTACCAGACATCTGTTCCTACTGGGATTGGCTCCAGGGGCTTTGGTCTAGGAATCTCGGCACCCTGAGCTCCCGAGATTATACTCATAGCAGGTAAACAACAATGGCCACGGTTGGCCATTGCACCCTTCTCTGGGTGCATGCCCCTTGCAACATGACTTTGCAGCACCTTAATCAAGAGGTGGAGTCTCTTCCCAGCCCTCAAGCCTAAGCCAATGGAACACGGCAGAAGGGGTGCTGTTTCCATTCTGAACCTCAGCCTCAAGAGGCCTACCTGCCTGGATCATGCCATTGTCATAGAGTAAGTCCAAGACAGCCTCCTGGTTGATGAGAGACAATGTGGAGAGAGACCAGGTGACCTGGCCAAGGCCATTCCAGAGCACCCTAAGGCTGGCCAGCCCCCAAACACGTGACAGCAGCCAGCCAAGGTCAGCAGAGCTGACCACAGACGTAGAAATGAGCCGAGCTGGGAGCAGAGGAAGGCTCGGCTGACCCACAGGCTCAGGTGCAATAATAAACGCTCGTTGGTCCAAGCCACTGAACTTTAGGGCGGGTTGTGATGCAGCAGACACTGGCCGATACAGCAGCTGTCCCTAGCCTCTCCCCTGCCCTGCCCTCCACCGTTCCGGGCCACAGGACTGCATGTCAGCCGCTGTCTCCCTGCCTGGAGCTCCAGCTCCTCACGGGAACTCTAGACTTGCCTTCTCTAGGGTTCTAGGGTCCTGACTAATTCTAATCCAGCTCCCAGAAACACTCGTCCCCTGACACACCCACACCCAGACGTGGGGGCGGGGGCAGGGTCCCAGGACCAGTTGCCTGCACCTCAGTACAGTGGTCCCTGAAACTTCCTGCTGTCTTCTTGCTTCTGGATGCCCCCAGTGACTGGCTCGTGCCTCCTTGTCCCCAAGGACACAGTTTGTTGATATCCTGGCACAACGGTCCTGCCCATGGTACGACAGCAGTTATTCAATGGAGCTCGAAGTGGCTGCTACGCGTTGCTGTGCCGGGGGTAACTGGCCCCTCAGAGAGCCCACAGGTCCTAGTGACTGAGTGCAGGCTCCATGAGACGAATCAACCTGCCTGGCCCCAAGGGGGTGACACCCACCTGAGAAGCATCCTGTGGGAAGACCGCGTCGAAGGCGAACATCTTCGGAGGAACCTGGTTGCCTCTCTTCTGGAAGGCATTCTGACCTCCACACGCCAGGGGGTCATACAGGGTGATCTGCTTCTTCCGTGGGTCCACCTTTAAGAAAGAGCTGGACTCCGAGGTGTCACGGGCCAACGTGGAACAGATGCGAAGCATGACTTTCACCTGTTAAGAAACAGGAACCAGGACAGACGTGGATTAAGTTGGATGCTGAATGAAGGGGCACCCCAGTGTACACTCTGGACTCATAAGTATTCATGGCACAGCATGGAACTTTCCCGTGATAAATTACGATGATGTGCCTAATGAATTAGCAACGTGAGCCTCCGTGGCCTGTGGGAAAATGGATTTACTTATAATTACCAGGTAGACTATTTTGATGTGTCCACTACTTTATTATTGAAATGGCATGTCCTTGCCTTCCTGTTAATGTAGATTGGAAACCCACTGTACCCTGGTGGCCCAATTACAGAGATGAAAAGTAACCTGGGTCGCCACGTGTTTGGGGCTGGCGTGGTCCCCTGGAAGCTCCAAGATCAATAAACCATGGACATAAAAGTTCGCTCCCATAATTTACTTCCTGCCTCTGCCCATCAGGGCTCTTGGAGGGAAAAAAAAATCCACGTTTATTAGTGTCATCATTAAAGACCCGTACGGTGGCCTGCTTTTAATGGCCGGCATTTGAAATGTGTTCCAAGGGGCGACGGCGATCAAAGATTTGTTTGATTCGTGTTCCTCGGGACCCCATTAAGTGAGTGCCTGGGAGTTGACTTTTCAGGGCATGAAAGCACATCTCAGCGGCATACGAGAGGCAGTGCCCTTTGACCCACCCCCTGAGTAGTTGAACGTGGACATTTTAGGCGCCCTTGACCCACTCGGCTCCACCCCCAAGACCGAACTCGAACTTGCGGAAGTGAAGCTGAAGCCACACAGCTCTGGAGCCTCAAGTCCCAGGAAAAAGGACAGCAGTTCCTGCCTTGCCAGCCCCTCGTTACCACATTGCTGGTGCAGTCTGACTGTGTTGAGTGCCTACTATGTGCCAGGCACTGGGCATTGGGGATGCAAAGATCTGGGGTTCATAAGCTAGCAGGGCAGACAGACAGACATAGGTAATGTTTGTAACGGGATGGAGCAAATTCTGAAGCTCTGTACAGGGTTGTTTTTAAATTCCTCTCTGTGTCTTGCCCTCTTTATCCAACCCATGGCCAGGTCTGATATAATCTCAGTGATGCAGCTTTAGGGAGGAGCCTGGAAGTCTGTGAATCAAATATTTCAGACACACAGACGCACTCAGAAAAGAACCTACGGAATCTATTGCGCATCGCAGAGTGCGGGCATCCTCCCGCCCACCCAGCCCTGCCTACCGAGGCGTGGGAACTGATTCGTAGTGCATAAAGCTGAAATGTAAAGAATCCATAGGGTGTTGGGCCCAGCTGTTCTCGTCACCGAAGAACAGGACTCGTGTGTGGGTCCAGAGGCCAGGGTCATGGTGGACGGGGCACAATGCTGGGATGAGGCCCACCTCCCAGGGGGCAAGTCTAGGTTCTCCCACAGTGAGGTCACATGACGATCCCCGCTGTCCCCTGAGGGTCTGTGGTGAGCTAGGGCCGTGCCGCTGTCCACGGCATCGCATTTACCCCTCCCCGAGCCAGGGTGAGGGCACACTTGCCCAGACTTTACGGACGAGAAAACGCACGTTACAGAGCTTGTCCCAAATCACTGAACCTGTGGATGCTGAGGCTGGGCTCTTTCCCTCCCGCTGGCTGACCCCAAAGCCCACTCTTCCCCATATGCCAACTGCCCCTCCCCCACACAGCCAGACTTCTCGGAGGGGGGCTCAGGTTCCCCACCTGTGCCGTAGGAGTCACAAGGCCTCTCTCTCTTGGGTCTGTTGTAGGAATGAAAGGAGTTGGCCTGTGAAGTACTGGGCACAGGCGGGCGCTGCATCCCAGATGGGTGTTCCCCTTCCTCCTCTTCCTCTTCCTTCCCTTCCTCCTCCTCCCTGTACTTGTTCCCTCCGAATCACAATGTCCTGGCACTTCCCAACCACGGTGTTACCGGTGAGCTTTTGGAACCCCTTGTCCTGGACTCGGTGCCACGGATCACAGCAGGGTGGGCTTGCTGCAGGCCGGGCTGGGCCTTGGTACCGGGCCTCATGAGGCTCCTACTAATGCAGCAGCATCACGTCCCACGGTCAGCCTGGACGTGATGGCAACCCCCCTCCCCCCACCGTCTGTCTACATCCGCTCTGGCAATTTTCTCGTTCACTGCCAGTGTCCCCAATCTTATGTCAGTCCCCTTCGTTTCTATCGATTGGTCCCATTTACACAGCAGGCATGCTAAGAGCTCGTCTTCAAATGGCAACTTTGGGGAGGGGTCTGGGGCCCCCGGGCCCTCGGTAAGCAAGGCCCCCGCGCAGCCCAGCCTCTGAACGGCACACGTCAAGGCTGATGCCATGCCAGGCAGAACTGATGGAGTCACATGGCCCACCGCTTTTCCATTTCACAATTTCACATGCAATTTCGGGGTAACTAGAGGTGCTGAATGTAAAATATGAGCCAAGCCACGCATGGGCCTACGAGGAAAAGCAGGAGAGAAGGGGCTGAATTAGTGAATCATTTGTCAGAGAGGAATTCTCCTGCATCTTAATGAAGTTCCAAGCGTGCACTTCAGTTCCTGCAGACAGGCTGAGGATTCCAGCCGCTGGCTGGCCAAGGACATCCACGCTGCTTTAAAAGCTCACTGAACTCTGGGCTGCGGGAAAGGCTGCCCACCATTCTTTCCCTTGCAATTCACGAAAAATACATGGATATTTTTCCTTCTAAAAGGAAGGAAGCTGGGTTTTTCTGCTTTACCTCCTTTGTGCTATTACTCTTGTAGTCTAGCCCTCCCCTTCCTGTCTAATCCTCGGTAATTTGAGTGCTCAAGAGATACCACTCGGGGTCAAGAAAAGCCCTGGACTCCTTGCCAGAAGTTCTTGCTTTTGTTGCAAACCCTGGCAGGCTCCTGGCAACACCTACTTCCACCCCCTCCTGTCCCTGCAGCTCGGGCGCGACTGTCCTGCAGTCTTAACAGGCACAGCCTCTCCCCAGCCCCCGGAGTAAAGGAGGCATTCAGCAGTCACTGCCCATGGCGGAACTGGGGGACTGGGACCTTGACAGCTAAAGGCACAGTGTGTGTGGGGGGGACGGGGGTGGGTAGGGAGGGCCTGACACCCCGATTCATTGCCTCCAGCAAAGATCTCACTGGATGAGGCCTCCCTTTGCCTCATCCAACCTAATTAGTCAGCGGATGGTGAGAGACAGCCCTTGCTCTGGGCAGCAGCTGTCCTGGCGTCCTGCTTGCTCATCACCTGCGCACGTCCTCCTGCAGGGCATGGTGGGATTGGTGAGACGCTCACCGAGAGGGAGACAGCGCGGGGCCCATACGCACACCCCGTGCAGGTAAAGGCAAAGCCGACGGCCACACAGCCGCGGGGCCCCACAGGCACTGATCACGCAGACAGACGCCCCTGCCTGTCCCTCGCTGCAGAGTGCGGGCACACGGTGTAGACCGAGGGCGGCTCTCTGCTGCCAGTCTCTCTCCCAGGCTGTCGGGGGAGGCTGACTGTGGAGCTCAGGGGCTCGGGGTAAACCGGACCATTCAAAGGATCCCTCGCCAGTGGGAGACAGACTGCGGATGACGGTGCGGTGGTGGCAGAAGGAGGGCACCTCGGAATCCTTGTGGTGCGTGAGTTTGTTTAAAGTCCCTCGTGGGCCCCGCAGTGAAGGCCCTCACAGACGTGCGTGGAACAGTGACTGGCCCCGGCCGGAGTCTCGACCGCAGTACACGCGCAGGGACAGCGTGTCTGCCACGAAGGCGGCCACGTAAACTAACCTCCAGCATCCTTCTATGCCTTTGCATTTCCATGGTGTGATTCTCTTTACACCGATGTTCAAGTTCACGGATATTTTTAATAAGCTTAGTAGAAACTGGTCCAGGTGGCCTCAGGTCACCTGACCAGAAAGACCATTTGGCATCCCTTTTTGCCTCAATCCTGGCAGTGTCAGAATTGTCTTTAAACATTCACATCTGTTCTTAAGTTTCTGCAGCGCGGCTGGAAATTGTTCTCCAAGGCAAGTCAGGAGGAAAAGAGACGGTTCACCCAGTCCCACCCGCAGGAAGAAGGGAGGAAAAAGCAGAAAAAGCGGGACTGTCAGCGGACTTCCAGCACCCCAGGAGTCACCTGCGGAGACAGAGCAGCCGAGCTGCAGAGCCGTTAGCTGCTGACACCGCTCCTCCAGGGACCTGGGTCCCTTCTACCGAGGCCGGGGGTCCTCCTGCTGAGTGGGAGCCACAGGAACCCTGACCACCCTGGCGCTCTCAGGAGACCTTCTCTGCCTTAGACGGGAGAGCCAAGGTGTGGGCCAAAGACCGAGCGGACACCCCGGGCCCTGCGTGATGACAGCCAAGGGCAAATGTAGAAGAGGCACCAGGCTGTCCTCAGTGCTACCCCTCGGAGGAGGGGTAACAAAAGGGTCTGTTGTGTCTAACGACTCTACCTCCTTTCTTACAGGCTCTGGGTACAGGGGTCCCTGCAGCGGGCGAGGAGCTGGGAGACTGGGCTCTAATCCAAACGTCACCACCATTGAGTGGCTGTGCGACCTAAGGCGTGGGCCTTGGTTTTCTTACCCCTAAAATGGGACAGTGGCGCCACCTCCCTTGAAGGACAGTGGTGAAGAAACAAGCAGACACAAAGCAACATATACAAACGTAAAAGACTGTTCTAGAGAAGAAGGAAGGGGGGGGAGGAATTCATAGCCCTTTCTAGATCAAATTAATGACATCCGAAGCCTTTCTCCTAAGCTTAATTCTAAAAACTTAAAGCAAAAAAATTCTTTAATAAACATGCACATCCTTGGCAACCAGAGAGAGAACAAATTATTCCCCCTTTCCCTTCCCCCGCAAATGAAGTAAGACGGTGTGGTTTGCTTACATACTTGTCGAGGTGAGTGATCCATGTACAATTTGGTCGGAGCATCTAAAAGCTAAGTGTGGAATTTCCCTTATTTTATTCCTTTCTTCTCCGTCTTATCAGTGTGATGAGCGGGCTCCCACTGCCTACTTACGGTCCATTAGTCACTTCAGGGAAATCCTCCAGCCGCTCAAAATAAGATGAGCGGGGG